TACTCGGGTATGAGAAACCTCCTCTGATTTAATGCTGCTTTAGTGTGGTACGTGATGAAATTTTGGCGCCCGAAAGAAAAACAGCAGCAAAATACAACGGCAGTATATTGATGCAGTGACGTAGTGAGGATGACATCGGGTTATTTGCCTTAGTAGTAAGCTCAATATACTAAATTGTTGAACATAGTTGCTCTTGTTTTCTACAGTGTTTTGTATGACAATTTGCTAGTGCTAGCAGATTTTTCTCACCTTGAACCGATTCTCGGTCGTGTCGCGTTGGAAATTGTCTCGACTTCCCTGGGCATAGAGTATCATTGTGCTTGCCACATAGTATCAGGGCCCCACAAAGTCACTTTCAATCGAAAATCGTCAAGCGACGATGAAGCTGTCAACCATCACTTTCAATTGAAAGCCATTCTGTCTTCTCTTCGAGCAGTTTTCATGCTGTTTGTTTTGGCTTGACTCGTGTTCTTTCCTTCTTTCAATGTCAAATAAACTTTTGCATTTAAGCGAAGCTGTTCGATCCGAATTCGCGCAGTTTTTATGACTTTTGTTGATTTGAGCGTGCTTGCACGTGGGTGTCAAATTTGTCATTGTCGGGTGGTTTGCTTACCCATCAACATGGGCATTTTTTTAATCGAGGTGACGTCTAGAGATCAAAAATTGATATGCGACGCCATTTTGAAATCTTAGATGGTGGCTTCCATTTTAAGAAAAAGTGGGAAATGCTGTCAAATACTTATTAATAAACGTATTTTTGGAATCGGGATGATGTCTAGAGAATGACAATCGATATCCTACGCCATTTTGAAATCGAAGATGGTGGCTTCCGATTTACGAAAAAGTGGAAATACAGTCAAATGCACATCAATATTGGTCTACAGATCGAAAATTGATATGAAATCCATGATGGCGACCAGGGTTAGTTCCACTCACTTGCTATAAACAAATGTTTTTCGAAATTCATGAAATCATGAAATAGTATAATGCTAATTAGTGCTTGTAAGTTACAAGAAGAGGTCATGAAGTATATGTTTTACACATAAAATCTGTCAATATTGCTTTCAGTGCGTCACAATCAACGAATTTACGACTCGTGAGCGCTCACTCTGAGTGAACGCTCACGAATCATAAGATCGTTGATTGTGATGCTCTGAAAGCGAAATTGACAGGTTTTATGAGTCAAACACATACTTTACACCCTCTTCTTGCTACTTACTAGTACATCATATCATTATAACATCTAATGATGGCATAATTCCGAAAAATATGTTTTTATAGCAAGTGAGTGGCAGCAACCCTGATGGCGACCATGATCCGATTTCAGATTAAATGGTTTTTTAGTGGATTTTTTCAAGGTATTTTTGGAATGGAGATGGCGTCTAGAGGCCGGAAATCGATATCCGACGCCATTTTGAAATCCAATATGGCAGCTTCCTATTTCAGAAAAAATGGGAAATGCTGATGCCGTCCCATCAATATGGGAATTTTTGAAAACGGGTGACGTCTGGAGATTGGAAATCAATATCCGACGCCATTCTGAAATCCATGATGGCAGCTTGCGTTTTGAGAAAAAGTTGTAAATTCTATCAAATACTCATACAAATGGTTTTTTTTAGATTCAGGGTAGCATGTAGAAGCCGGAAATCAATATCCGACGCCATTTTGTAATTCAAGACGGTGGCTTCCGATTTGCGGAAAAGTGTTAAATATCCTAAAATATGGTAATTTTCAGAATGATGTCACGCCGTCTTTAAATCCAATATGACGGCTTTGGGTAAGAAAAACTGTGAAATACTGTCAAATACCGATCAATGTGGGTTATTTTTTAAATCGGGCTGACATCTAGAAGCCAGAAATCGATGTCCAACGCCATCTTGAAATTCAAGATGGAGGCTTCCGATTTCAGCAGAAGTGTCAAATAGCCAAATGGCATCAAATATCGATTTTTAGCATCGGCGCGTTGTTCTCGTTCCGAAAATGCCCAGATCTTAGGGTATTTGACACTTTTTTGAAACTCGACTAAATGGCATCGGATATTGATTTTCGGTATTCATACGTTATCTCCATTCCGAAAATACCCATATTATAGGGTATTTAACACTTTCTGAACCCTGATGACCGCCATGTTGGATTCCTACATAGCGTCGGATATCGATTTTCGGCATCTACGCGTTGTCCCTGTTCCGAAAATAACCATATTTTAGGGTATTAGACACTTTTCTGAAACCCTATGGCCGACATATTGGAGTCGATTTTCTGCAGCCATGCGTTGTCTCCGTTCCGAAAATATCCATGTCTTGGGTATTTGACACGATTTATGAAACTTGATGGCCACCATCTTGGATTCCAAAATGGCGTCGTTCCGAAAATACCCATATTGTAGGATAGTTGACACTTTCTACTTCCTGATGGCCGCCATATTGCATTCCAACATAACGTCGGATATCGATTTTTGCCATCTACGCGTTGATATTGCTCGAAATGAAGCGATTCTGCGAAGAGTTCAATTTTCTTTTCTTTGTTTCGAAAATGCAGAACCCTGCATAGTATACATGCTCATGTATTGGGCATAGGAAACTCTCAATTAATAACTGCGAAAGTGCATTTAGAACATTAAGTTGAGATTCGGCCAAACACTTGCTAAAGAAGCGTAAAAAGCCTGCATGGAGAAAGTAGAAGAAGGCAAATTTAAAAGTGTCCGGATTTATGGACTAAGTGTCCGGATTTCGAACTTTTGCGGCAATTGAACACATTTTCTCTAATATTTTCTCCGGAGAAGAAATGTGTTACTCATCGTTGAGTTCCTTCACTTTTTACTATTTATGAGTAAACTGAACTCAAATTTGGGTTGATCTCATTGGCCGTGTATGCTTTGCTTCATATACAGTTGCTACGCACCCCCTAGATGGATGATGGAGCAGTTCCACGAGATGCTGGATGGACTTACCGCAGAGCTGATCGGAAGAAGACCGGTAGCAGACCCCCTTCACTCTTTGGAATTTATAGAGACAGATAACAGCGCCAATAGGTCTTTGACGATACAACGTTGAACTGCAGCGTTGGAAGAAAACACGCACACCATCATCTATACATGTACGAACCCACACCACTGAGCGGAGGGTACAGCTCAAATCAAAACACGAAGCGGTGTCATCACTCATCGTCATCACTTAGCTTCGACAGCTTCAGTTTACGATTTCATTCGCCGTCATTGAAAAATACCTTCTTTATAAAATAAAAAAGTAATCATTATTCCAACGTAATTTTTGAATAGCCAATACCGTGCAGCGTTGGCCAAGGAAGACGGCAAATTTTATTACGTTTGTTTAGCAATAATTTCGATACAACAGCTAGCTTCAACAACAGCTTCATCATTCATCAATTCTCGATTACTTTTTCCAAGGGACGTATCTGCAATTATTAGTGTTTTCTCAAGCTTTTTTGATGCGTATAACGTGGTAATGATTGAAAATGGGAATCTTGCTATCGCAATATAATGATGATGACATCGATCATACTCTTCCCTCGGCTGATCATCAACGTCCACGCTGGCATATGTCATACTGACACCTGTCATTTATTGAGCCCAGGTGATGAAGTTGGCGGGGCACTCCCAACAGTTTCAATGTGCACTCACGAGATGGCACTGCGATCACATAAGGGTGGTGTATCCATTGCCTTGTTCAAGGGATTGATTTGTGGGATATCTTGTTAATGAAATATTATTGCCGGTAGTCATCGGAGGAGACTTCAATGCTTGGGCAGTGGAGTGGGGTAGCAGATGTTCCAACGCAACAGAGCACAGTTTGGTGGAAGCTCCGGCAAAGCTGAAAGTTAGGCTGTCCAACAAAGACACCAGCATAACTTTTGGCAGAGATGGCCGGGAATCCATTAGCGACGTCACTTTTTACAGTGCGAAGGATATACCTATAGTGGAAGGTAGGACGAGAACTTGTGACCGGAAGTGGATGACGAAGGTCTTCGGCTAGGATCTTTTCGTTGAAGCACTTCGTATGGACAGGGGCCCCGCAGATCTGAATGCGGTGGGCTGACAAAAACATTAGTGAGAGCATGTGGAAAAACTTACCACCCTCCGCGCTAGTTGTCTCAGAGCCAGAAGATGTTTTCAGAGAGCAAGAACAGAGGCAGACAAAGAGGAACGTAGATGACTGTTCCGAGCGGCCAGGGCCTTAAACTTAAACGAGAGATAGTTAATGCAGAGCAATTCAAACTGCTTTAAGGAGCTGTGGCGAGACGCTGATGCCAACCCCTGGGGCGACGTATACCGAGTCGTGACGGCGAAGATCAAAGGTCCAATGATGCCCACTGAAATGTGCCCAGAGAAGCTGAAAGTCATCGTGGAAGGATTTTTTTCCCGAAGCAGTCCGGATGGAATCCACAAAGTGGAGTTGAAAGCGGCGATCCGGACATGTTCAGGATGGTGCTGCAGGAATGCCTGGACGAGGGTATCTTCCCTGATAGGTGGAAGATAAAGAAGCTAGTGTTGCTGCCGAAACCAGGAAAACCGGCGGGGGATCCAGCATCGAATAGGCCTATATGCCTCATCATATGGATCATCCTAAACAGAATGACGAAATACACAGAGAATTAGCACGGATTGTCGGAGAGGCAGTTCGGATTCCGGAAAGGGAGATCAACAGTGTATGCAATTCGGGCAGTAGTCAAGAGAGCCGAGAAGGTGTCCAAACAGAAGTGGAGATGAGATCGAAATTGCGCCGTGATAACGACCGACGTCAAGAATGTGTTCAATAGCGCCAGTTAGGAGGCCATCGACGAAGTGCTGCATAGAATGAGGATTGCTGACTACCTGTGCAGGATCCTGAGGAGTTACTACAAGAACCGGGTTCTGGTCTACGCTCTGGAACGGGATGTGCAACGGCGTGCTAATGCTGATGCTGCCCAAAGGAGTTGAAATCGTTGGCTTTGCGTACGACATCGTCTTGACGGTAACAGGTGAGACGCTGTAAGAGGTGGAAATGTTGGCAACCGAGGTGATCGACATTATTGGTAACTGGAAGCAAGGAGCGAAGCTGCAGATAGTCCACCACAAAACGGAAGTGCAATTGGTAAGTCACATCACAGCGTGCGTAGAAATACCTGGGATGATCGATGACCGACTAAACTTCAATAGCCACGTCGAATATGCCTGTGAGAAGCCTTCGAAGGCTATCAACGCGATACCTATAATCATGCCGAACAACTCTGGTCCCAGCAGTAGCAGTGTGTCGTCGTCGATACTGAGGTATGGAGGTCCAGCCTGGGTTTCAGCGCTGGAAACCAAGCAGAACCAAAACAAACTGAGCGGTACGTTCCGGCTCATGGCCATGCGAGTCGTGAGTGCGTACAGAACTATCTCGTCGGAAGCAGTATGCGTTATCGCCGGAATGATCCCTATCGGCATCACCCTCGCGGAGGACAGCGGTGCTACAGGTGGAGAGAAGCCAGAAGAGTACGGAAAGTGGTGAGAGCGGAGTCGTTGGTTAAGTGGCAATAGGAGTAGAACACGGTAGATGGACACATAGACTAATACCAATAATTTTGAGAAGTCAACTTCCACCAAACGCAAATACCTGAATCGGTTCGGACACGCAGCGTCACCCCTCTTTCCGGAGAGTGACAACGTGGATGAAACGCCGCAGCATGTGGCCTTCGACTGTCCAAGGTTCGAGGCAGTGCGAAGGGAGATGCCCGTCTTTAACGTGAAGAATATTGTCGATGAAATGTGTCGAGAGGTGGGCACTTGGAACCCAACAAACAATTCACAGTCACAAATAAGCATACACATTGAATAAATGCTGTATAACAGTGTACAATGCTGAATAAAACAGGATGTCGAATTATGTGCTGAAAAAAGTTCATTGAGATCGATAGATGCGCCTTTATTCCGCCGTTTGCTCTGATATGATTAATTTACTTATTAAAAGCTTTATAAACGTTGACTGTCTTCTTGATTCAGAACCAGAAGTTTGATCTAATAACAAACTGAATATCATTGAACTGAATTCATTGCGTTGCTTTACAATATTGCTGTCTAAAGGTGAATACAGTCAGCAAAATAGCTCTTATACCACTATGCGTCCATGTTTTAGTTGAATGCTTTGTAAATGCTTTATAAACGACGTATTGGATTCATTATTCCACAACACTGCCCAAAAAACAATTCAGAGTAACAAATAAGCATATAGATTGAATAAATGCTTTATAACAGTGTACAATGCTGAATAAAACAGGTTGTCAAATTATGTGCTCAGAAAACCTCATTGAGATCGATGATGCGCCTTTATTCCGCTCATTGCTCTGATTTGATTAATATACTTCTCAAAATCTTTACAAACGATGACTGTCTTCCTGATTCAACACCAGAAGTTTGATCTAATACCATACTGAATAAGTGTAATTTGCACATACATTGACGCTTTAATCCGACTGTTTCAATTGATTTAATAACATGCTTTATTAAACGTCCAATAATTGTTTTCTAGCTCCATTACTAGATTCCATTGCATTGCTTAACAATATTGCTGAATAAAGGTGAAAACAGTCAGCATAATAGCTCTTATACCACTATGCGTCCATGTTTTAATTGCATGCTTTGTAAATGCTTTACAAACGGCGTATTCATTCATTATTCGACAACACTGCTCCAGGCTAACAACAAAACGAAATTGGTAGCATAGTGGTTACCGTTTCCGCTTTCCAAGTAGAAGGTCGCGAGTTCAATCCCAGCCTCAACCCTTTTTTTTATTTATTTTCTACGCCTAATTAATTTAAATCGTAATCATAAATCGTATCACTCAGGACAACCAATTCATAGATCTATCTAAAATAATAGCATCCTTTGCATCGAAATTAGAGAGATGGAGACATAACGTTGGTCTAATGTTAAACAACTATGAATGAATTAATCATTCTCACATCTCCTTGAATTAGCTAGAGCTACGGCTGGAAGTGCTGATAGGTTTTCAGATGCAAGCTTTTATTGCTTATTTAGCTGCCCATATGATGTAATCTAGGATAGCTCAGATGGCAAGGCAAGCGGCTGGTGATCGGAAGGTCATGGTTCGAATCCCTAATAACGAAATGTGTGTGTATGTATGTATGTAATAGATTTTCTAGATCTTGTATGGTGGGTGCGCGTGCTTCGACCGAAATAAATGACACAACAATCACTGACGAGAACACAACCCTGCTCTTCTGTGTCGTTCTTATTTTCGGATTAATTATTCCGTAGTTGAATAATCGTTTAATATTAAATGTATAATAGTGTCTTATTAAACATTATTTCACATGAGAATCAAGCGTCTATATACACCTTTATACCATCGCTGTTTAAGGAAGTAAATGATGTCTAATAAACGCTGAATAATCAAAAATTTGATCGAATAAGCTCTGTTACAACTTTTTTTAGTCGAATAAAAGCTTCTCGACATACCTTATTCAACACCAAATATTTCGATGTAATATACGAATAAATTCTCCAGATTTGTGTGAACAAAGCCTGAACAGAAGTTATTATTAAAAATAGTACAATTATTATTAAGCATGAAGTGGAATAAAATCGTCAAGAAGTCGTTTCTTCAATAGGCAATTGTTTGTTGGGAATGCCGTTAACAGAGCACTCACTCAGCTTATGTCGGAGCTGCAACGCAAATGGAGAGAAGTGCAGGGATCTAGCAACGCCAACTAGCACTGAGAGTATGAGAAGTGCATGAGCATAGCCCCCAGTTTCCAATCCGGAAATAGTGCAGAGCATGGGCCCAAAGGTCAGGACCAATAGCGTGGAAGGAATTTATCGAAAAATCATGGTTCTCGGTAATAGAATGGAAGTGCAGGCAGTAGTAGGTTTTTTAGATTTGTGGGTAGTTATATTTTTGAGTGCATGGGGGAATGCTGTCAACAATGCTGTCGGTTTGTTTACCAACAATAGCTGACGTTTTGTTTTAACCTAACTTTTTTCCTAACCTGAACTTCAGAGCTAGGATTAATGTCATTGTTGATGTTGATCAAAATGGAATCAGTTTTATCACTTAATTGTTGGGGGTCCAACTAGAAATCATGCAAGACGGACCCAGGTACGATCCTTGTGTAGCGAGGACCAAATGGACCAGATCCCGCTAGTCAGATGTCCACAAGATTGTTCAAAGGAGGATTGTCCGCATGAGGATTGTTTGAAGGAGAATTGTCTGCTACCGACGAGTCAAGGAGTACGTGGAGGAAGAAGACTATCCGGAACTCTGAAGCTCTTTATATGTTCCAGGGGGAACGATACATTCGGATGCATCCTGTATTCCCATCAAATTTATCCATAAAATTCTGCTTATATATCCAGAACATTAGTCAGAACTTTTTTTCTCCAGACATCTTTATTCGATTTTTTGTCTATTTTTCAGTATATCCTGAATATCCCTGTTGATCCTTCTGTCTATTCCGAAAATTCTTTCAATTCCACTCGCATGCCGTCACAGTGTTGCCATATCTTTTTTGAAGCAACATGCATCAGGATGAGTGTCGTTCCCCAACGTTTTCCTTGAACGTCATTGATTATCTCTGAAGATCTTTCCTGGAACTATCTTCCTGCGGACAATCGTCCAGTGGACAATCTTCCTCTGATCAATCTTCCTGCAGTGCGGACAATTCTCTTCCTCCAAATAATCTTCGTGGACAATCTTCCTGTGGACAATCCTCCTACGGACAATCCTCTTCCGAACTATCTTCCTGCGGACAATCGTCCTGTGGACAATCCTTCTTCGAACAATCCTCCTGCGGACAATCCTCCTCCAAACAATCTTCCTGACGACAATCTTCCTGCGGAAAATTCTCCTGCGGACAATCCTTCTTCGAACAATCCTCTTTCGAACAATCCTCCCGCGGACAATCCTCTTCCTCCTGATAATATTTCTCCTCGACTTGTCGGTAGCGGACAATATTCCTGCGGACAATCCTGCTGATAATCCTCCTTCGAACAATCCTCCTCCGAACAATCTTCTCCTAAGAACAATCTTCCTGCGGACAATTCTCCTTCGTACAATCTTCTCCCGAACAATCTTCTTGCGGACAATCCTCCTCCGAACAATCCTTCGAACAACCTTCTCCCGAGCAAACTTCCTGTGGACAATCCTCCTTTGAACAATCTTCCTGCGGACAATCCTTATTCGAACAATCTTCCTGGGTACAATCGTTCTTCGAACAATCCTCCTGCGGACAATCCTCCTGGGGACAATCCAAATATATGATGTTCAAGGGCCCTGGAGCTAATGAACTATTAGATTAGATAATTAACTATTTTAACTAGTTCCGCTTTTTTTTTTGTTAGCATCCATGCCTCTCACGCCAAAGTCACGAGTTCAAATCTCGAATGGCGAAACAAAAAGAAACGTGCTAAGGGATATGACAAACCTCAATCTGACTGCCACGGCAGCGGGTACCGCGCTTTTTTTTTGCAGGCGCTTTTGCTGGCAGTTGTGCTGTCAGTGTCACTTTTGACACCTGTTCTGGTACAAATTGCTGTCTTTTGCTCTAGTACCGGGTGCACCAGGTACACTAAAAAACAGCTAGGTGAACCAAAAAAAAAATCGCGTGAAGGAGGTCCTTACCCTTTGGGTCCATGGTGCAGAGAGTAAGCAGTTATCACAGACAAACAGACATAACACTCGCAAGTTATTCATCGAACAAGCATTTAACGGACAATTTAAAAGTATCGTAGTTGGTAGTGTTGCCGCCTGTGGCGCTCATAGTCTATTCCCTTGCGTTTGACGTTTATACACTACCGCTATCTGTTCAGCGTAGTGCCCACCACAGTGTACTCAACAGATGGCGGTAATTTTTTAGCGACGATTTTTTACAGTGTGAATTATTCAATGTGTTATGTCTGTTTGTCTGTGCAGTTAACATTATATTCTACTATCAAAGTTACCCGCATTATCAAAGATACCCCGTTTTACGGTACTTCCAACTCATTCCGACTGATTGAGGGTCTGCAAATAAAGAGAGTTGCGTTTCTTTAGTCTTTTAGTGCACCCCACTAGACAGAAGATTCGTCAATGTTTCCATCAATATTTTCAATTCAATATTTTCTAGAATATTTTCTACAATATTTTCTACAATATTTTCGGGGATTCATCAAAACAGGGTTGCTCCTCATATATCCGATGGAATATTTTGCGTCAAATCACAACCATCTTGACAAAAGTTGCCAAGAGACAGGCACCATCTGCTGCTGTAGTAAAACAGAAGGGGAAAATTAAGGGAAATATTGAAACATGAAATCAAACTTTCCTGATTTTGCGTCAATACGTTCATCAATATTTTCGTTGTTAATATTTGCATCAATATGTTTTTCATAACTTTTGAGTATTGACATATTTTTGCTCATGTGATGTTTGCTTTTAGTAAGAAGACACTATCAACATCAGTGTCTTCTCACTTGTAAGTTGTAATCGTAAATCGTTTCTGTCTTGGATGTATA